AACTATAAAACACTGTTAAAAGAAATAGAAGAAGACACAAAGAAATGGAAAGACATCCCCTGCTCATGGATTGGAAGAATAAACATTATTAAAATGGCCATCCTACTAAAAGCAATATACAGATTCAATGCTATTCCATAAAAATTTCAATGACGTTCTTCAAAGAAATAGAACAATTATTGATGAAATTCATATGGAATCACCAAAAACCCTGAATAGCTAAAGCGCTCCTGAAAAAATAAGAAGGGAATGAAGGCATCACACTCCCAGACTTCAAGCTATACTGCAAAGCCATAATCATCAAAACTGCCTGGTATTGGAACAAGAACAGACACACAGACCAATGGAATTGAATAGAAAATCCAGAAATAAACCCACAGATTTATGGTCAACTAATCTTTGACAAAGGAGCAAAGAATATGCACTGGAGCAAAGAAAATTTGTTCAATAAATGGTGCTGGGAAAACTGGGTCACTACATGCAAAGGAATGAAGCTCTACTACTACCTCACACCATACACAAAAACCAACTCAGAATGGATTAAAGAACTAGACATAAGACCTGAAACCATAAAATACATAGAAGGAAATATAGGCGAAACACTACATGACATGCACCTCAAAGACATATTTACAGACACATCACCCAAAACAGTGATAGTGAAGGCAAAGATGAACAGCTGGGACTACATCAAATTAAAGAGCTTCTGCACAGCAAAAGAGGCAATAACAAAAACAAAGAGAAACCCCACCACTGGGAGAACATTTTTGCACACAACACTAATGATAAAGGACTGATCACAAAAATCTGCAAAGAGCTGATGAGACTCAACAACAACAAAGAAAATAATCCTGTCAAAAAATGGGCAGAAGAGCTAAAAAGAAACTTCTCTGAAGAGGAAATGCAAATGGCCAACAGGCATATGAAAAAATGTTCAACATCACTTGTCATCAGGGAAATGCAAATCAAAACTACCATGAGATACCATCTTACACCAGTGAGAATGGCACATATTAAAAAAACTAGCAACAACAAATGTTGGCGAGGGTGTGGAGAAAAAGGAACTCTTCTGCACTGTTGGTGGGAGTGCAAACTGGTCCAACCACTATGGAGAGCTGTGTGGAGATTTCTGGACCTACTAAACATAGAGCTTCCATATGATCCAGCAATTCCACTCCTAGGTATTTATGCAAATGACACAGAAACAGTAATTCCAAAGGGCACCTGCAAGCCTATGTTTATAGCAGCACTATTTACAATAGCTAAGATATGGAAACAACCCAAATGCTCAAAAATAGATGACTGGATCAAGAAGATGTGGTACATATACACCATGGAATATTACTCAGCAATCAAAAAAGATAAACACACGCAGTTTGCAACAACATGGATGGAGCTAGAAGGGATCATGCTCAGTGAAATAAGTCAGAAGGAAAAAGAAAAATACCAGATGGTCTCACTCATAGCAGGAATTTAGAAAACCTAAATAAGAGACCAGGAAAAAGGCTAATCAATGCAAAGTAAAAATCAAAATCAACAAGCAACTATAAACCAGAGACACACTGGGGGGGGGGGGCGTGCAGTTGTATGGGGAATATAACCAAAATGAAAATGCATATATTGTACAGAGATGAAAAATGATGTAAGAATTATATAAAATAAAATATTTATAAAAAGTTTAAAAAAATAAAGATGTTTCTGAGATGTATGTCTTGTAGTGTTTTACCTATATTTTCTTCTATATATTTTATGGTTTCAGGTCTTATGTACAGTTCTTTTATCCATTTTGAGTTGATTTTTGTGCATGGTGAGAGGTAGTGGTCTAGTTTCATTTTTTTGCATGTGGAGGTCCAGTTTTCTCAGCACCATTTATTGAACAAACTGTCCATGTTGCATTGCATATTCTTTTCTCCTTTGTCAAAGATTAGTTGTTCATATAAGTGTGGCTTTATTTCTGGACTGTCTATTCGGTTCCATTGGTCTGTGTTGGTTCCATTGTCCGTTTTTGTTCCAATACCAAACTGTTTTAATTATTATGGCTTTGTAGTATAGCTTGAAGTTTGGAAGTGTGATACCCCTTTCTCCTTTGTTTTCATCAGTAGGGCTTTGGATATTCTTTTTTTTTTTTTTTTTGTGGCTCCATATGAATTCCATCAGTATTTGTTCTATTTCTTTGAAGAATGTCATTGAAATTTTTATTGGAATAGCATTGAATCTGTATATTGCTTTCGGGAGGATGGCCATTTTAGCAATGTTAATTCTTCCATCCATGAGCAGGGGATATCTTTCCATTTCTTTGTGTCTTCTTCAATTTCTTTTAATAGTGTTTTATACTTTTCTTTGTATAGGTCTTAAAAGAAATGTAAATTTAAAGACTAAAAGCAGGCAGTGCAAAAATTACACACATGCACATACACACATCAAATCAATTAAGTGAACTTTTGGGAAAACCTAATTTATATTGTTCTTAAATTCCTCAATTTGCTGTGTGAAAAACAGGCCCTGGTCTAAGAAATGGTGACTAGATCCAGGCCTCTGAAGAGGACCCTGGAGGCAGAGCTCCTCACCTTGTGGAGGGTTGGAGGTCACACATAGATAGAAGTCTCTGCTGCAGGCTCACCTTTCTGCTGAGCACAGACTTGCTCAGTGTGCAAGGCCTGAAAGCAACATTGCTCAGTAAACCTGTAAACATGTCAGGCTGATTAGGGGCTTACCTGGCTTTTGTTCTTAACAGAAACCTTCATACCTAAGGGCAAAACCAAGACCATAGTGCCCTGGGGCGAGGCTGGAGTGTTCCTGGGAATGTCTCTCTACTCCTTTTCCCAGCCTCCTTCAGAACCCTGATCTCCAGTTTCTCTTTCATGCCTGAACTCCACCTCTCTGCTCAGTGGGATCACTTAAGTGCGGATTGGCCCTATCCCCAGGGTCCATGGCCCTACCCACTCTAGACCTCTTGCCAAGTCTGCCCCGCCCTTGACTTCAATCTAAGTTCCAGGAATCTCTGCCCAAGTCAGTATCTTCAGGCTTGCATTTTCCAGGAGGGATTTGGGACAACTAATTGATCCCATGACAGACTGTGAGTATAATAAGACAATGTTATCGCTGTGTACCACACACTGATCTATCCCAGTGTAGATCAGCATGCCTGGAAATAGCTCATATTCATATTTAGTCTCTGAAATCGCACCTTAAGGAAACCATGGGGAGAGTGATGGCTAAGCAAGAACTAGAAATATGAGAAGGAGGCCACATAGTTAGGAGAAAAAAACACACCTGTAGTTTTACATGCAAGAGTAATGGCAGAAACTGCTGTAGGTCAATTTAAGGAATTACACACAAGTAGAAGAGAAGTTAAATAGTAGCAGATAACTATTGTGTATGTGTATTTATATATATGGCTGAAAACAAATCCTCTTCTCATTTGTTCAGGTTCATGGGTTGCCATTGTTAAATGTTAACACTTAAGTAATTAGAATTAAATAGTCCATAATATCTTAAACATGTGTTGTGATCTGTATCAGCCACCTTAAGGTAAATTATTCTGCAGTAATAAATTATTCCCAAATCTCCATGAGTGACAAAGCAACAGCAGTCCAATTCTGCTCAGTTAATGTTCATCCTAGGTTGCCTCTGACTATTCCAAGTCTCCCTCTGGGACCCAGACTGGAGAGGCAGCCCCTGTCTGGGATATCATTAGCCTCGTGCAAAGGGAAAGAGAATGGCAGAATCACATGAGCATAAAGCTCATGCTGAGAATTGACATGTGACATTTTCACTCGCATTTCACTGACTGAGTCTCGTGGTCAAACCCAATAGGGTAGAGACATTCCCTCACAGAAGAAATCACTGGGTGTTTTAAGTAATGATGAGACAAGAAGAGTCCTGGAGGAAAAACAGGACAGGGATCAAGGACAGAACCTTGCTGTTCCTGTTGTTTTGTTGGACTGGTCAACAAGAGGTTAAATAAATCTGACTCTGATCCATTTTAAACTAACTTTCCCCAGCCTGTGCATTCCTGAGCTATCTCTTTACAGACCTTGAGACCAGACAGGATCAGACTGGAGCTGTGGGCTCACAGTGTCCAGGAGATATTCACCATCATGAGATGGTCATGGGCCCTGTCACAGCCAATCTGCAGCTGATGGGTGCTCACAGCTAGCAACAAGAAATGCACTTTAGCCAAGTCCACCCTCCTTGCCTTCTGAGTCAAAAAGTTTAATTCCTTTGTTCTCAGACCCCAGCCCTAAAACCTAGATAGACCCCTAACCCTGGCACCTCAGAGTCTTGAATGCCCAGAGAGGTCTCCCCTGACCTCTCTTTCCTTGTCTTCCCCTGATGGATAAATGCTGACTCCTTGCCTGCCCTTGTACTGTAGGTTCAGTCTTCACCAGAGGGTCACAAGGGCCCTTTCTTGGACTTGGGAGCAGACCAGCCACCCCTGTACATCCCTCTGATTTCCAGTGGGTGGAGCAGTGGACAGAGGCTGGTTCATCCCCAGCTTACTGTATTGTTGGAGGGTGGGATTGAACTTAGGGACCCCTACCCCCCAGGCCTGCCCCCTTGTCCAGTGTAAATATTACAGTATATCTTATGAATACTCATTAAGCATGTCTTTAGAAATACAAGTACCAACAGTCTTGAAAATTCCTGTAACTCTGGAATTATTAGTACCATAGTCTAAAGCTTTGTCTTCACAACTTCTGAAGGTTTCATGTTGTTCCCATGTGAATTGTCAGTCCTTCAGTGCTCCTGTGGTCTGCGGGGGAGCCTGCTTACAAAATGGCAGACATGCTCATGTGTCTGTCAGTGTTTAGAGCGGATAATGCAAGCACAGCATTTCACCACAACCCTGGTGACTGAGTTGCAAAATTATTTATGGCTTTCCCATTTATGGCACGCTGCTCAGTTTCCCATGAGTTGCTAGGAAAGATTCCTGATAGCTACTATGAGCCATTGAAACCTATGAGACTTCATTTATTATGGCATAATATACACATTACCTCACTTGTGTTAGACCATATGGAGAGCTCTCTGTTGAATTTGGCATAGTTACTGGGGTGAAACGGGAATGAATTCTGTTCCTCATCCTCTTCAATTATGCTGTATGTGGGATCAGGCAGCCAACTTCAACAGATCATCTGGGCATAGCAATCAGTCCTCAGGACAACATCACTGCCGTCACCTATGCCAACGAAGAATAATAAATGTGGTATTGAAGAGTTTCTGAGTGACAGGGAATAGTGTAATCACAAGAGTAGATCAATAGAGCTCCCTGCTGACATTAAGCTAATGTTCAGAAGTGGCGGGAGAAGCAGAACACCCACTTGTCACTCATTTTTGTGTTGGCATTTGGAAGAAGAGGCAAGAAGCTCAAGAGAACTTGAAGTCATAGAAAGTTCTAAATCCAAATGAGTGAGTAACAATGACTCCTTAAATAGAGAAAGATCTACCCAGCGCGAAAGCCATGCTCTATGGTGCCAATTTGCCTCTGGCAAACAAGTGAACACTTGGACTATGTGTACATTGAGAGAAAGAATGTTAATCTCTATAATGTAGATATAAGAGGACAGTGGCCAATATGTGGCTATTTCCATGTATCTTTCATCTCTCTGGGGTGGTTTATTTGACATGCAGTAGAGACTTGGTTTGCTCCCTTGTATAGTTGGAAATCCTTTGGGGGGTCTCTCCCGTGGGGATGTTCATGGAGATGTTCATGGGACTCCCCTCAGGAACTCTTGGGCATTTTATTATTTCTTTCAATGAATTCACTTAAAATAAAAGCAACCACATTAAAATTGGTCTAAAAATTCATGATAATTTGAGAAAATAATCTGAATAGTTTTCTACATTTTACAGTTAAAAAATTTCAGAATATTTTACAATTTTTCTGTTTACATTGAGAGGCCATCTGTCTATCTACAATATTTGTCACTCCTCTCTCTCTCTTTTCTCTCTCTCTCTCTCTCTCTCTCTCTCTCTCTCTCCCCTCTCAAGAACCAAAGTAAAACTCAACAAAGAGGAGGAAAAGTTAGCAAGGATTTTCAGAAATTTGATATAGAACCTTGGTTCATCCTCATGTTCTTTTTCCACAAGCCTGGCCTCTTCTATGTTTCTCATCTTTATCAGAATCAAACATAAATAATGAATAGTTCCCCTTGCTAGATATTGTCACTATAATGAGTTGTGGTTGAACAGATCTTTCCCTTCCAAAGGACAAGCTCTAACTTTGCTTATGGTTGACTATTTGAAATAAAATCAAAAGATTGGTACCCACCCTCCCCCCCCCAAAAAAAAGTCTAATTAGTGTTCGTCTATTGGAGAGGAAGCTGAGCATGCTGCTCCACCACTGCCAAATGAAATTAAGGCCCAATTATTGATAAATGAAGAGTGGTTTGTGCTGGAGCCTGGCCTGGAGTCTCGGAAATACATCTGTCATTTGGCCTGTACAGGAGTCATTCATGTGTGACATGGCATCCTGCGCATTTATCATGCATCTGTAGATTTTTGTTTTAATTCAGTTAGCTGTCTAACTAGATTCGGTGCTGGATGCCTCGAATGGAGTCAGGATTTGGACTGACAGATGCAATTCTAGTCTGAAATGGTGTGTGACAGGACTAGCTATCCTGCATATTAATTATTATTGAAACCATTATAGGCAGCGCTTTTACACTAATGGTTGATTCCGTTATCTGTTTTCGTGGCTCCTCTGGTTAACAATTGCCCAGTTGCTCCGGGGCAGGTAGGAGACACGCTGGATCAATGGACCATTGTTGTTAAGTGCACTTACCATTACCATGAAAATTAGAATGGAAGTGCTTGAAAGGCAAGAATGAAATGCCCTGTCTTACCATTATGCAAATTGCACATTCTATAAATGAGATAAGTAGGGGGAGAAACACTTTTCATAAATCTTAACTAGGTAAAAGAGTTTATTAAGTCCATTGTCAAATACAAATTGAAAACAAACATTTGTTAAGATGATAAAAAAATAATGTCTGCAGGGCTCTTCCCAACCTAGCACACAAAACTCAGTTTGGCACATGCTAAGGTTTAATTTAAAGTTCCCGTGGTTTTATCACTCCATTATATAAAATATTGGAAATAACTGTCACCTTCAAAGAGAAGCCAGTAATGTAATTTTTGTCCAAAGTTCTGAGGAAATGCTGTGTAAGGAGGGCTTGAATGAGACCCACGCTAAGGGCAACCATCTTGCCTGTACCTCTCTGGTTTTCTTCATTGTTTATGTGATTTCCGGGTGTCCTGGTCTCACGCCCACTCTACCTCCCCCTTTTATTTCATGCGTCTAATGAACATTGATGAGGCCTGCAAAAAAAATTCCAGTCGCAGAGGGTTAATCGAAGTCAATGTTGTTGAAATGTACAGTGTTTCTTGTCATTTGCTTATCAGCCTCATGTGATAGGTATTGTGTGATTACAAACTGTGTGGGTTCAGTGGCAGGCACAGCTTGAATTACACATTTCCATTTCTGGGAGAATTTGTTAAGTTGCTGAGGACTTTGATAATGCAAAATAAAAAAACGTAATACAATGAAATGTAATATTCTGTTAAATAGAAAATTAATGGTAGAGTTAAAGTAATAATGATGAATTTGCATCTCTTCAAAAGATTCATATTTGTTAAAGGACATTTCACATTGCAATTTTAGGTCTGAAGAAGCTTCTACTTTCCTAAACAATTAAAACTTTGCATCTTAGAATAAATGCTTTTTCATCTCATGATGTTTGAAAATGAGGTGCTGAAAAAGAACTTGGCTTCAATTTAAAAGTTCAATAGCTTGATTAAGATATCGGGTTTCAGGGTTTTCGTTGTTAAAGATATCCTTTTGAATAAAGGAGCAAATTAGAAAGCAAAGATGTATCTTAGTATAAATAGATCTTAAGATATTAGTAGTCATAATATTCGGGAAATATAAGTAAATTTTGACTTTACAGTTTGGAAGCTATTATCATTTTTTGTGTGATTAGCTACTCCAATTTACAGTGTTTGCCTCACTGCTTTATTTCTTTCAATAGGTTTTTTTTTTTTTTTTTCATAAGACTCCAAAAACTTAATTATGGCTTATGCAAATATCATTTGAGGGAAAAGAGGGTAATATTAAATCTCTAAAAGCATTGTTAGGGTGAATGGTAGGAAATCGTTATAGGTATGAAATGGCATTCAGAGGGGGAAAAATGGGAGGAAAGTGAGGAGGTCTCTCAGGTTCTTCCTTCCTTAAAACCATCTACTTGGACCAGATTGTCTCAACTTTTATCAAAGGTGAATGTTTTAGAAAGTTAAAGGTGGGGGCGGGGGCGGGGGCGGGAAGAGTTTTTGCTTCTGCATATGTCCAGATTTAAAGGCAAACTAAGTTTGTATAATGCTGCAGTTGCTAAAAATGAATGTATGAGGTGGGCAGCTGCAGAACCACTTTTTTTTTCTTTATTGAATCACTTAAATTCTACCTATATTAACTGGAATCTCCAGTCGTGTACAAAGCCTACAGAAAAAGGCACAGGTGAATTAAAGTAACAATCATGTTTAACTAAACTGGCAAAATTGTTAATTTTACCTAAGAAGACATGAAGTTGAAAATCATCCACATAATTTTAAAGCATCCATAGTCTTCTGAGTACTGAGCTTGAAGAGTAAAGAATGGTTAGGAGCATGAGGCTATCAATGATAAGGTGATGTGTGTGCAAGTGAAATGACAGGAAACAAGAAGAGAACATAGGTCAGAAAAGGGGAGGACAGATTGAGTGAGGAGGAAAAACTCTTAGATTTAGTAACCAGGGGTCTGCAAATTAAATGAACAAGAAACAGATCAACAGGACAAAGGCACACAATTTTTATTACTATTTCTCTGCATACATGTTCATGAGAAAGGAAGCAAAATTCAAAGAAGCAATGACACTGAGGGCTTTATGGACCCTTCTTAACTAAGAAAAGGGGATATGGACTTCACAGGACAAGTTGTAGGAGGTGATTGGGTAATATTTGAGGGCACTGATAGAATGGAAGAGCTATTTTAGTAAGGTCTGTTTAATCATCCTCCTGCTGTTGACTACTATTTTTAAATATGAGTCTTTTTTCTTCCCTGGCTGGGGAATGGGGTAGTTTCCTCAAAGAGAAATTTGTGCCCTGCTTTTAGGTAGCCAAAGGGAAGGCAAAGAACTTTCCCTGCATCTGTTGAGTCTTAATTGCCTTCGGCTCAAAATAATCCTTATGTCATAGTGATATATTTTGGGTGGCATTTTGTGATCCCTAGCAAAAGGTAAGAATATGTTTTGCAAAATACTGATTAAATACCTTAAAGTTAATGGACTTTTATTCTAAGATTTTCTTTCCTCCATTTTCAGCTTTTAAAAGAACATTTCCTTCACGAAAATAGGTTTCTTTTCATCTTTCTCCCTCTAAGGTCAAAATAAATCTTTGGTGCTCAATGTCTTTATCTCAAAATATTTTTTCACTTTTCTTTTTAATTCTGTGGTCCCTGATTTCTCAGACATTTGGAAACTTGCTGTAAAACACTGTCTCCAGAGGAAATATTAACCACAGCTACTCTTTATTGAGCTCCTGCTATGCCTCAGACAGTATCCAGAGAGATGCACACATATATTCTTTAGTGCTAATCTTAAGAGATGGACGGTATTGTTCTGATATAATAAATGAAGAAAGCATTTCATAAAAGATAGAAACTAAGTTGCTGGCCCAAGGTAACATAACCCTAGGGTGACCTTATCATCTATCATTCAAACAGGACACTCCATAGAATGAAAGAGGGTAATGGTAACAGTTATACCAAGGCTTGGAGTGTAAATGGGGGCTTTCCAGGACATTAGCACAGTCACCCCACAGAATTACTTTAGAGCAAAGGAATTAAATCAACTTGCATCGAAAGCCCATGCCTGCTCTTGTCACCGCATTAGGCTGCTTCTGAAAGTCATACAAAAATAAGAATATCAATTTCAGAGGAGCTGAATTCACCGATCTGTCTGGCACCGGGACATCCAAAATCACAATCCCTTCAGCCTCTCTTTGGGACTATTTGTATTGTAGGACATCTACTCCCCGTGGTGATTTTACAAACATTTAAGAATGCGAAGCAGACTCTGTGTAAGGACCCACGCCTGTGTAGAACCGTGTTAGCGCCTGTTTTTAAGAGAGGAATATATTTTGCACATGTAGAAGTGCAATGAAATGCAGTGGTCTGCGGGATTCTGACTTCCTTGAGTGGCAGACACAGGACAAACTACCAGTACACCCCCCGACTGTCATTTATGCAGCCCAGCAAGGCAACCCCAGAAATGGTTTCTGGGACAGCCTGAGCCCAATGTTGCAGAGGGGAAATAGAAGTTTGGCAGTTATTTGCCTTGAAAACAAAGCCTAATCATCTACCATAGTTAATGCTGTGT